CTGCCCCCAAAAAGGCTATTTTTGACATGTTTTACTCAAAAGGGGTACAGCTAAAGTTTGATTGTTGAAAAGTAGAGATGACTACACGGCATTCAAAAGATAAAATAATGTTTTTCTTACGTCAATTTTGCAGACAAGTTGTCTAACGCTTAAGAATCCTATTATATTCATAACTCACGAAAGGAGATATAGAAATACTTAGCTCTTTCGGGGTTTTGAGCTGCTAAGTTCAAGTGAAATATAATAATATTGTAGTTTAGAAAGCGCTGTTGTCCTTAGTTAACCAATTTTAAAAGAGTGCACATTTTATAATCTCGTGCGTGATGCAGGGAAAGCATGCACTTTTCCAATCATTATTTTGAAAGCAAATTAGAAAATAAGTTTTTATCATTTTTCAGTTCTTATTAGAAAAAGGTCGGTACACACTAAGTGACATGTCGCTGCACCACGTCGCTGTAAATTGCTTTATGTCAGTATTTGAAATTTTTTTTTTATAAATCTTTGTCTCTACGACAGAATTTTGTCGCTACAATAAATCGCACAAAATCAAATCAGTGTGAATTTTTGCAGCTCGTCGAGGCAACAAAATTCTGTCGCGGAAAAAAAGCCTTTCTGAGAAATTTGATTTGTCGCTACGACGTGGCATGACGACCAGTACACAAGGAGTTGTTGGTTTGTGGGTCCGCGACGTTTCGCAGCGACGTATTTCCTGTTTGGAAGCTTCTTACAAACAACGAGCAAATAACTTTTGTCACTTCATGCATGTTTGTGTGTCAGCTTGATTGAAACAACTTCGGCTGACGATGGACAAATACACTCTTTCTCACACTTCACTTTTACATCTTAAAATGTTCCATATGTTTACTCTTTTTAAGATGAATGCATTTACCTCAGTTATTTTAAAGAAACTCAATTTCGAAAAATCATTTTAAAAAAAGATTTAACGAACTTGGGTATTCTCTTTTGTGTTTTTGTTTTGGGGTTTCCATAAATAAGTACACCTTTCTCCTTCCGTGTTGCTGGTCTAACTTTGCACCATCAATTATAAATTATTCACTGTGACCACCTCGTTAAATGCATTGTAATAAAACCAAATCACGTAAAAGACGTTGCTTAAAGATATCATCGGTTACCCTGACGATTTAATTTGAAAAGAAATTCCCAATATACAGCTGTCGGTATACGATCAGGGTCCAAATGATATTGCAACCATTGTCTCGTGTGTATGATGGAGACGGGCCCCACCAAAATGAGATTTCTTGTACTTCTTACCATTTTGCTGACTACAGGTCACGTATGAATCTCTCTTTTTCACCATTCATGTGTTGATTAATCGCAACAAACCGACTGACAGTGCAGTTCAATTCTAAAGGCCTACCACGAGGGGCATCAAGTGAATTTAAGGTTCATTTAATATCCTCCTTTCGCAAGGCCTTTTTATCTTAATGATTGGAGAAATATGTGCTAAAAGTGAAAAACTGGCCGAGTGTCTCTATATAAAAAACAGTTTATTATAGGAATTATGACAAAATAAGGCCTCCCAGGGGCTCCCACTGAGTGGGTCTTAAGGCCACACCTTTAATCGTAGGCTGCAGCTGAAACTGGCAAACTGGCTGATGGCCTCTCAATAAAAGAAAAACAGATTACAACATGCGTTATACGCAAATAAAGGTCACCAAGGGTTTCTAAAGACCAGTCCTTAAATCTCAGGCAGCTATCTGTTTTTTTATATTCAATTTTGGAAGCAAGGACAAACGTTACAAAAACGAAGGATCGGATCCTAAAAAGGATCTAATCAGCCATCATGAGTTAGCTTACGTTAAAACATCGAACAAAAGAAGCAAGGCTGATTTTAGAGTCGGGAACATACATATTTTTTTGTTTTTTATTCCCGACATTAAAATCAGCCTTGCCTCTTTTTTTCGATGTTTTTTTTATATTAATGTTTTTTATTTTATTTATCAGCCTTAATTAAAATTAGCCTTGCCTCTTTTGTTCGATGCTTTTTATATATTAATGTTTACTATTTTATTTATTTTCATGTATTTTTGTTTTCCCCGTCATTCAAATTAAAGTCATTCAAGTTATTCCTTCGTTAAACGATTCTGTTTCTTCCTTTTTTTGCAGGCTTCAAGGAAACGAAAGGTTGGTAAAAGCGTTATAGTCTAGTAAGAGCTTTCCCTGTATTTTTATCTACTTAACATTAAATATTGGTGTACCGAAACCGCTTTATATTTCAGGGGATTGTTCTGGCCGTAAACTGGATATTGCCATTCTTGGGGATCGGTCCAGAAGTTTAAACACTCAAAACCTTCGGAATCTGCGACTTGCCATATACGACATTGTGAAAAAAGTTGGAGTATCCCCTGATGGAACCAATTTTGGTATGACTTAAATTGAGAGATATAGTTATTATTTTCCGAGTCTGCCTCTAGGTTATCGTTATTTCTCCTCAGACGACTACCTAAATATGAGCCGGTCATAGACATTGATAATGGTGAAGACAATATTGCAAAACCAGCCCGACTACCACAAAAGGCACAAGAGCATCAAATATTGTTATTATTAATAATCAATTATTATTCCCGCAGCTTAAGAGACACAACGCTTTAGCTTACATAACAGGCGCTTTATGAGCCAAGCGAGGCTAACGAGGCATTTTGCGCGAAGCTCGAGACGAGCATGAATCGCGAGACTAGGGAAGGAGGAAAAAATAAACTTAATTATTTTTTCTCCTCCCGTCGTCTCATCGCCCTTCGCGCGAAATGCCGCGTTCACATCGCTTGGCTATAAAGCGCCTGTTATGCAGGCTACAATACTTTCGCAAGATATGAGCGGTACCAAGGATGGCTGACAACTGTTCACTTCCAAAAATGTCAGGCAGACTAAACCTTCCATACTAGGCCTTTGCATAATGTTCCAGATAGCTCCAAGTGAAACAATCACGATAGGTTTTAATGTCACTTTCGTGGCTCTATAGATTCGTTTAATTTCGAGAGCTAGGTCTTGATACCTTTCTACCTTCTTCTCCTCAGAAGTAAGGATATTTTGGTCCGCTGCCCGGAGAGGGGCACTCCCTAATTTGGCCTATGGGGGTATCTGCCGGTGAGACCATGAAAGCCATACCGTGGCAGGGTATGGTTTTCAAGGTCTTGAGTCTTAGACAAGGTATACAATTTTACTATTAAGCGCCTTGAACGGGGTGTCGTTTTGGACTGAAAGCCTTTCAAAGAGTGTGAAAACTTGCGATGAGCGGTCTACATTTGCGGTACCGATAATGTTTTTCCTAAATATCTATTTCCACGATTTTAGTGTGAAAAATTACTCAATTCTGTACGCAAAACAAAGCAAATCAGGGTAGGAAAGTAATGTCTCCTGTCTTAAACAGGGTAGCGAAATGAGAACTTTTTGTCTTAAACAGGGTCGGGGTTTGTGGACCTAGGCGGAACACCTCTACCCAGACTTCCCTTAAGTGCCCCCCTCCGGTCCGCTGGCACAGCAATGTCGATAAGTACTAGTGGCTACTGCTTTGTGTCTTTGTGTACTACAGCATTGGCCGATTGTGCCTCAGCCGTTTCCGTAAAGATATTCATATCCCAAGTTATCCTTACTTCTCCATTCTCTGCAACTGGTAAGGGTTGATGGTGACACCACTTGTTGGTACATCCTAACCTACTTGAACCGCCAGCCTCTGCTCAGTGACTTCTGTTAATTCATCGTTGGTGTTATAAGTTTTCCATAAGTCCAGCAGTCTCTTTCTATAACGTCGCCTCCTTGGTTCGCTCCTGATGAAACACTCAAACAGGCGTTTGTTGTCCTCCGTTGACCTTGCCAACTATCTCTTCTCAGTGTTGTCGTTCAGCAGTAACAGGGTGACGACCGGGCCTGCGCTGCTGCTCTACCACAGGACAGTCCTGCCGGACGCGACACCCATGTTGATCGTTCCGGTCCTGTTGATGTCGTTGGCGGAAAATTCAATCTTCGACATACTCTCATAAAATGAGGTTCTGATTTAAGGTTTCCACTACAAATAAGTAGTAGTTTTATCGTGCATCCATCATGCATTAGACGGATTACTAACCAAGGCTCAGAGAGATACATTGAGGCAATCTATATACCCCGGCAGACAACAACTGATAATCTTAGGTGTCGTCCCTCTTAAGATCTTGGCCTTTCCCAACAAACAAGCTTTATGGAGCAATGCAATGATCCCAGGTGTTCTCAGCTTAATATAATGATCCACATCGTTAGGATTTTTACAGTCCTAAGACCTCCTAGTAAAATAGGGATAACAGATACACTTCTTCAGTTCCAGATCTTTTGCAGTTCCACTTTAAAGTTCGTCCTAATAGCAGTTGATCTTCTCCGGTTCTTTTTCTGCTACCTGTATATCAAACAGACAAGCCATATCAACAATGAAACACACCCTTCTCTCTTCCTCCTGCACTACAATATCAAGTCTATTCATGGTCTAAATGGTGATCTGTCTGAATACTGAAATCCCACAGCAACTTCACCTGGTCATTTTCCATCACTGTCTCTGGAAAATGACCATATCAGATTTCGTTGCACTGCACATTAAATTTTTTGCAAAGATTTCAGAGGACAACTTGAGTAACCTTAGCGTCTCTCAAGTTCTTGTACTGGTCAGTTTACCAGGTCTTATTATTATTATTGTTGTTGTTGTTGTTTTGTTTTTAATAGGTATCATTACGTTCGACTCAACCGCGAAACTACACAACACCTTTGACAACCCTGTGTACCAGAACGAGCAGAAACTAAAAACGCTAATAGACCAAAAGTTCAAGAATATTGCAAGGAACTGGGGAACCCGCATCGACAAAGCGCAGAAACTGGCTCGTGATAAGTTATTTACTCCCTCGGGAGGAGACAGACCTAGAGCCACAAACGTGATGTTGATATTTACAGACGGAAAACCAACTGGACTTAAAAAAAGCGATTTCACCCCATTTACCGAACTTAGGGCTGGCCTTGAGGTA